GCAATTTGCTTCAAGATAGCAGACACAAACAGATTCCAGACAAAAATGTATCTTTGTATATCTTACCTGCAAAGAAAACAAGATGATCACTGCCTTGGAAGATAGAAAGATACGATTATCCAATGCATTACAGCCAGTGTTAGTGCCAAAACAAGGCATTGTTCACTTGATCTGCTATCTGAAGACTATGTGCATATTTTCACAAATTGGAACGTGTGAATTTGTCACTATCTGTGTGACTGTAAAGAAAGTCTTATGTGTACATTTTAGTTAACTTTTTTCCCGTTGACTTATAGACGACAATATTTACCTGCTGTAGTTTGTTTTAGTTAGCAATTGCCTTACTTCTCTTGCATCTTTGAAGGGCAGTCATTCTACTCAGGATGCTTTGGAATATAATACTTTGTGGCAGTCCTCTTTGTTCCTGTCATTGAGGACCTTTGTTGTAGCATTGTTGGGATATTCTATAGAGTAGACTGATCCCTGATCCCTCAGCTCATTTTTCTGCAGATTGATCATCTGTACAGACTCTTGTTAGCACATTCTAATTCTCCAACAAAGGCCTCATTTTTCTTTTAATTTTTGTTCCTTTCCTCCTCTCTTTTTTTCTGACTCTGTTATAAGATGCCCTATTTTCCAAGAAACATTTCCTAGTGTATTGGAATTTACCTGCAAAGTAGTTTCTTATTTCTGTGTTATATTTGAAAGAATATACTCATATTTAGACTAATTGTACTACAGAGGTTCATTGGTTTAGTGGAACTGATTGTGGAGAAAACCATCAAGAATGATATATCAGCCATTCAGTCATGAAATAGTTTCAGAACATTGGTAAATTCTCTTAGAAAATTGAATTTCCTGAATAATAGTTGGAGCTTATGTTTGTTAAAAGAATTAAAATTTGATTCTAAACTTTTTATACCCAGTCACTAGCAGAAGTTTCATAAAGCTCTAAATTTTTTAAATGCTATATGTATTTATACTATTTATAGAAAAAAAATTAACTGATAATACATTTTAACACAATGCTTATTTTGTTTTTAAGTATTTTTTGAGTTTTGAAATACTCCAATATACAGCCATGTAGAAAATAAGTAAAACTGTAGGTTAGACTAAAATATTACTGATAACCTAGTGATACAATTAGAAACAATGAAATCCCTCTATTAAGTAATGTTTAAATGAAAAAATACTATGTTTAACCTCATTGGTACATACCAACACTGCGAAAATTTTCATAAGATTTTAAGTCACTTAAATTCAATAATTTAATTAAAGTTAATTAAATTAAATTAATTAATAATTTAATTAAGTTAAATTTAATTAAATTTTTGACAGCCCCTCCCTCAAAATTAAAGCAATGTTGGTATTAATTTATCAAATTTAATTTTATGATTCTGAACCTAAACTATAAAGCATCTAATCTTCAGATTACCCACAAAAATCAGATTTTCAATGTGGTATTTATACACAGTGGAGTTTTACTCAGCCATGAAGAAGAATGAAATCTTATCATTTGCAAGTAAATGGATGGAACTGGAGAACATCATCTTAAGTGAAGTTAGCCAGGTTCAGAAGACCAAAAATTACATGTTCTCCCTCATATGCGGACTTTAGATCTAAAACAAATGCAGTAATATTATTAGACATGGGTCACACACTAAGGGGAGGGCACATACAGGAGGAATAGGGAAAGGCAGGAAACCCAAAACTTGAAAGTGTTTGATGTTCCCACTGCAGAGGAGCTAATACAGTAACCTTAAAATGACAGAGGTCACTATGGGAAAGTGACCGGGAAGTAGTGAAGAGGTCAGGTAGAGGTGAATCAATTCAACCCTTCTATTTACGCAATATCTGGTATCTCATATTGGTTCTAGTCTCCACAAATTAGAAGAGAAATATTGCAATCTAGAAAGGGGAGATCTAAAACATTATAGGAATGAAGCGATGGTCACTTGAGAGCTCACTAAAGTACTGACCCTTTAACCTTGAATAGTTCAGGAAGGCTATATAATAACTCTTAGAACCACTGACTATTTGGACAATGTGAGTATAAATTCCAAAATGTTAGAACAATGGAAATCTGTTTAAAACTTTTAATGAGTTAAACTAGTTTAGAGCAAGTAGAAAGAAGTATATCTTCATGAACCAGATGATTTTCTAAAGAAATAGCATGTACAAAAAAATCCCTTTATGGATTCTTTCATATTTACAGTCCAAGTCTATAAGTACCAAAAGAGATACAATACAATGCCAAGCGTGTTGTTATACACCTGTAAATCCTAGCACTCTGGAGACAAAGGTAAGCAGAGTGCCTGTTCTTGGCCAGTCTAAGTTACATGACACCGTCTCAGCCAAAACAATAGACCTAATATGTGCCACATCTCTCTCACTGTGTTCTGTGCCATAAAGGATGATCTTGCTTTTCTCCTTGGCAGCCTACTGTTACTGACACCTACAATAGTCTGAAGAGACTTTAGTCCCTAAAAAAGAATGACAATTTTCACCCTAATATGTATGTGTGTGGTATGTATATATGTGTGTTGGTGGAAGCAACATTTCATTTTTATATTTTATCTGACATTCTGTATGTGTTGCTATTTGAATCCCACTAGAATCCAATTTGAATTTTAACTAGCATTGCAAGAGAATAGACAATAGAAAACAAAATCCAAAATCTTATCCATGTTGAAGTGGTTGCATTTTTCTGTCTCTTATCTTCTCTTAGGTTGGAAGCCTCTCCAAAGAGTTTTGAATACCTTTTTCTTGAGGCCCATTCTATTAGGGAATGCCTGAGAGACTTCCAAGCATTGCCAAGTTTGAATATATCAGCAAACTTGTCTTCAGTTTGTTAGCCTCCTCCACAAACTGAAACTTGTGCAAACTTTTTCCAAAAAATTGTAAATCACATTGTACCTTTCTCATATAAACTGTTTCCCTTCTTTGTAGAGATTTAATATTTGCCATGCCCTTTCAGACTTAGATTCAATAGAAGTGGACACATGAAAAACATATTTCTAGAAATCATGCAGATTTTATAAAGTTAGCCAGAAATACTGTTTGCCTTCCTTTGCCATGTAAAACACTGAAATAGCATGCTTAATCAGCCTTTGTTGTGCTAGAGACAAGCAAAGATCATGTAAGGCACAGGTTTACACAGCAAGTACAAGATGTCCTCTCAGCAAGTACAAGCTTTGTCTTCTGTGCTGTCAGTACTGAGAGACTTCTAGAACTAAAGCTAGATTTTCTGTACTTTTAGACCATATTTTAAATGATTTCAAATACAGATCTTGGCTGTATTTCTGTGAGCACTTTGACATTCTAAATTATCCTGTTTCATGAAACTTTATTTATTTTTTTGCATGGGCATCAAAATATCTATAATTTTCACATTTTTCATCAAAAATTTTATAGCTATATTCGATTTCAGAGCAATGTATTCCCCACATGTATTCTCCATCAAAGATATAATTAATCATTTAATTCATTGTGGCTGATAGTTCCTTATTGAAACCTTTGCTGGAGTAAAGACTTAAAAGAAAATTGTTTTTTCCTGTATTTCCTTTCTAAGAGGCAGTATAATATTCTACTTTGAATTGCTATGGATCTTGCAATGAAAATTAATGGATGTAAATTTTACTATTGCAAAGGTATACATCAAGTTCTTTAGTTGGGCTGCAAAATTGGATTTCAAATTCTATATTAAATCATGACAGGATCTCAATGAAGCACTTGAATCCAATATCATATGTCAGAGAAAATGTCAGAAAGCCAGAGCATGTACCCTTGTTTTCTGCTGTTGCAATGACAACATCTCTCAAGATTTTGGTGTTTACCTGGTGTGTCCTGAACATGTGAGCCTCTGCTAACAAGGATACTGTTACTTAGTAATGCATCTCAATCCAGAAAGGAGTCCTTGTTTGGTCAGTGCCGGCCAGAGCATTGCTGGGGATAAAAATCTTATTAAATGAATACAAATTTTAGATATGCTAGGATGATGGATTCTAGATATAGCACAACTCAGTATTTTTTTGTCAGCAAACATTGATTTTAAAAATCAGCACTTGGTGTTTGTCCTCAATGGCAAATAACCTTCCCATAGAACCAGCAGAAAGACTACCTTATTTTCTCCATTGCTTCTCTTAATCAGTGCCACACAACCTAATCTTTTGGAGGAGAGTATATTTTTCTTTCTAGGGGATATTTTGTGACAATGTAATACTGAACCAACTTATTCTAAAAGGCCATATTCAAAGCATTCCCAATAATTGCAGAATGTTCCAAGATACGGGTTGAGTACTCTCTTACAGGATGATGGAATTTCTCTCTTCTGTTTTTAAATTGGGGAATTTAATTTTCAGTTTTCCCCTTGGCTATATAGTCATGTTGTAATCTCAAAGGAGAATAAATTTATCTTTCAATTATAAGATATCTGAAGAAGGTCAAATGTTGAAGAGATTTTCACTATCTTAGTTTAGATCAACAAAAAATGTAAATATGAAATATTTAGGAATTAATAAGAAATGTTTTTAAGGTCTATGGGGGAAAATAGTAAAAATCTTTATGCCGAGACTAAATATTAAAAATACTTCAGTTTCTCCCTAAGTAATTTATAATTTATTGTCATTCCTATCATGATCCCAGTGTTTTGATTTTTTTCTGAAGCAGACACTCATCAAAGTTGTTCTAAAGATCTCCTCTAGAGAAAAAGCTAAAAAAAGCTTTTTAGCAAAAGAAAGAAGGGGAACAGTCATACAATGAAAACTATCATAATATTATAAGTCAAGGATTATGACATTTAAAATTAAACATTGATAGTTTAATTTGAAATAATCCTCTAAAAGGAGCTGCAGTATATTTTCAGCAACAACAACAACAAAAAAAAAAGATGAGCAATTATTAAATCCTACATTTGGAAAACCTATTCCAATTTAAAAAATAAAAATAATTCCAGAGGAAAAAAAGCAATTTAACTGATATTCTTTGCTCTTCTTTATTAGGTTTTCCAGGGAAATTTTGACAATGACACCCACAGAAAAAATGTCATTGACCCTCCCATCTATGCACGACACATAAGAATCCTTCCTTGGTCCTGGTATGGGAGGATCACACTGCGGTCAGAGCTGCTGGGTTGCACAGAGGAGGAATGAGAAGAACTCCACATCTACAGCTGCTCTTCTTAGTTTCCCTGAAAGCATCTCCATGGAATGAACTGTGTGAAATCTGTAGGAAAATGAATGGGGTTTCTTTTTTCATGAAAAAGTGTTCAAATTATGGTAGGCCACTGTCTTTTTAAGGAGGTCTAAGCCTGCCTTTTCAATGATTTAATTTTATTTTTGTGTTAACTCTCTTAAGTAACATCACATTAACTGTGAATTACTTTTCTCATTGTTTTCTGAATTATTTACATTGGTTGAAATATATTAAGGAAAGCAAGTAGCCTTCTTTTTATAGGAAAGATAAACACATAGTTATCAAGTAAGAGTTGATAGAGCTTTTACATTCAATACACAACTAATTCTTAGAAAAAAATTACAATGTTAGCAATAAGTGTTTTTCTGTATTGAATCTACATTATCTTGTTTTCCTGTGCCTACCTAACACTGTCAGCATCTATAACATAATTTTGAAGTAGACTGTAATATGCAGTACTAATTAATATAATTCACATTTTTTCACTTTCATTATTTCTGCTCAGACATTGTGCAACTTTTTTTTCCTTTTGGTTCAAGTCTGTATGTTCTTTAATTTGTAGATTGCATGAGTAAGTCAATACATTTTTCAATTGAATTTTCTCCTATTAGTTGCCTCAAGGAAGTGTTGTGTTTATTTATATGCATGGAAATGATTGAATATTAGCAAATTGATCTACATTTAATATCAGTAAATTCAATCTCAAATTTTATTTTTAAGGAAGCTATAATTATGCAATTTGCAAATACTTCTTTTATGAAGAATCCAGTACTACCATTTTGCTGAAAAAAATTAAAAATATCATGCCTCTCTACATGTAAATCTTCATTTTGATGGTATTTATATAGACCTATTTTCTTTGAAATAATAAAATCATTCTTTGTGTATTAAAAAATTAACAAATAAATATTAACATAGTACTGCATAGCTGGCCAAGCATACTCATGGTTTCTTTGTCCATCTCCATGTTTTCTGTGAAATGCAAATTTTATTGATATTTGAAACTGGTTGTGATTTCCCAAGAAAGCACATCATATAGTTATTTGTAGGAAGCCAAGTGTTTCTAATGACAAATTCATAAACCAATTTCAAGATGAAAATTGATTTCTATTTATTTTTCTTTAAAAGTCCTGAAAAAATAAGGAATTATCATAACAATGTGTTATTGATATTGGAGCCTTCATTGACATGTCTCTCAAATTAAAGCTCACACTGCCTCCATAAATGTCCTCAAGTATTTGTTTTATAAGGCTTAGACTCAGAATTATAGAAGTTTTAAATGAATGGTCCTAGAAAAAGAAAGGATGGTATGCATATGAAATGGTAAGACCCTGCACAAAAATGCTAAGGTTTTTTTCTTTAATGTTTGTGCTACATAACAAAAGCCACTAGACTGTTACTGTCCTGTCTGTCCATGCATTAACAGCATTTCTTGATGATGTATATATGGAGTGATCTTCAATCATAGTGAAGAATTTAAAGAGAAAGTCAATCACACTGACATTTTAATAAGAGCAAATTTATTGACCGAAGGGACCTGCATAGTCACACATTGGTTCCATATCCACATGCTTTCTGCTTCCAGTTCTTAATATGAAATAATTGATTTTAAATATCTGAAATGGGACTCAGATTCCAACATCTTTCAAAACCTTTTACTATAGCCTCAATATTATCTTATTTAGATAACTTTAAAATTAAGATTGTAAAATATTGCAAGTACCTAAATTTTAATGTCATGTTATAAGTAATTACTTAGTTCCAAAGAAATCCATACCCTAACTATAGCCCATAATGCTCAGTCCTTTGAGAATTTAATGTCCTACCAAATTTCCACATTTTTCTTTGCACATTCTTTATTCTTAAGAATTTTTTTAAATTATGAGTAATACTTTGTGAAGATTTACTTTTTCAAAATTATTCATGGCTTCATGCATGTGATTTTTTTCCAATATTTTTCCATTTACAGCTGTTTAAAAAATATTTCCCAAGGGAATTTGTTAAAAATCACATTTATTGCCTTTTAGAAAGTTAACAAAAGCATAATGTGCTCTTTCTAACATAGCATGTCTGTGGGTTATCTATTTGTTGGCAAAAGGATCCCCCCATATGGAAATATTGGTAATTATCATGATGTAGCTTTGTGTCACTTACACCAGTGACAACAAAGTGAAACAAACTCATTTTATCTTAATTCTCAGTGAAACAAAATCTCAAACAGAAAACAGAAGAATCACCTAGTCTTCAGTATATTAACTAACTATCATATGTTAATTGTACAACTTATAGAGCTAAAATTTTAAACATTTCCATTTTATCCATTTGTCATGATCACAAACTCCAATTTTAAGGTTGACTTTCTCTTTCCAAATACCTTCATAAAGATAGGTATGAATTTTGAGGATATGGAGTATTAATGATTGTATCTTTGCTAGTCAACAAATTATGAAATAAAATATTGAATGCTGGCGTCTGATGTGTCAGTTAGTGCAGAATTAACCAGTACACACATTACTTTTGCAAACTTTCAAACTGTGTAATATTCCAATTTTTTTCTTTGTATATATAATTAAATCATGAAGGATGTTGAAAAATCTGTATGACCTTGTCTAGTCTTCAAACTTAAAATAAACTTTTGAAAATCTGTGATACTTTTGGAGCAGTTGTAATTAAACACATTTGTAAGAATACACAAATTGCGAATGCCCACTACTCTTGACTACATGCTTTGTTTATTTTATTTATACAGCACTATTAAATAGATAAAAATAGAAATTATGATTTTCTTCAAATATATATTGATATGACCAAAAATATACTTTCTAAAATGTATACATCCCTCATACGCTCTTTAGTCATAGAAGTTTTACTAAATATTAATAATCTAATCATGTTTTGCCTCATTATTTTTAAAGTGGTAGTTTCCAAGATTGATTTGTTCATTCATAGTTAATCAGAAGATTTGGTTATTATTTTATTATTTATTCCGTTCATGGTGTCCAGGAATATAACGAAATGAGTCATCCACAGTAAGCAGTAATACATCCCCAATCTAATTTCAGCTATTGCTTAAAGTAAATAATAATATTTGGCTTTTTTATAAACCATTTCTGTCTCTTGGGAAGTCGCTATGTATGTATTCTTCCCACTTTTTCAATATTTTCATAGGTTTCAAAAAATTAGGGAAAAATTAAGATATTAAATTCTGGCTTCTTTGAGTTTCAATGAATCGTTAACATGTCTCAGAACTAGTTTAATGTATGGTTTTATGTGTTCCTACTTATTCTTATTTATTTCATTTTAATGTGAATGATTCAATGGGTTTCCATTGTTTGTCTAATTTTTACACAAGCATATACACAAATGTGCTTTTATTAAATTAACACAATTATGCAAATATATTTTTAATAAGACCAATAGTGAATCAAGACAACATCTATCCAGGGCAAAAATTCATTATGACTGTAAAATAATTAGTTATTTGGCAGAAAATTTTCAACCACGAGACTTTAAAATTATTGATTCATGATGCAAAAATGAAAGCATTAAGAATATCATGGAGAAAAGTTTGGCCAGACTGAAATTTGTTCTTAAACTGTGTTAAGAATAATGTCATGAATGGAAACTATTTGCTCTATATAACCTAAAAATTTAAACTCTCACCAGTTTTGAATATATGATTTAAGTAAAGATTTTAGCAAATAAACAAAAATTTTTACTGTCAGAAATGTGATGCTTTCTATTTCTTTTTACAAAGACTAATTTTTACAAAATTAACAATCAAGGTAATATATTACTTATTGGTGAAAAGATCTCCCTCTAGCCTTTGAGGTGCAAAGGAACCCTTTTATTTCAACAGGTAAAATGGAGAATTAAACCACTTTGCTAGTAAAGAAATGTCTCAACTACACTGAAACAGAATGCACTGCAACTTGTCTTTACAAAGTCAAAAGAATGCCTAGTGTAAGTAGCAATTTTTCTATTGATCTTGAAGGGGAAAATGGATTCCTTGGTTCTATTGTAGTAAATACCTGTAATTCATATTGGATGCTTCACTGTTGCTGCCAAATAAAGTGTTTTCGACTGTCTAGTGGCCCTTACTCAAGAGTTATTTCTATTAGATAAATTTGGTAGCAGTAAAGAGAAGTTATTTTTGGAAAGGTATCTCATTTGGTTTCTGTACAACTTGGCAGTGATTTAGTCTTTTCAAAACACTAATGCTGTAGAAATATGGTGTAGTTGCATCAGCAAATGGTCATCATAGCCTATAATTAAGCATTGCATATGGTGACTGCCTCTGATTTAATTTTATTTTAAAGTCCTCAAAGGTATGAGCCACACTATTCCATATTTATGTAAAATCCCATAGTGCCCTTCAGATGCCCAAACATAAATATGTTAATAACGATGATGAATTAGAACTTAAACTCAACCTGCTGCCATCTATAAAGGAAGTAGCAGTGAGACTGATGGTGCACTCAAACAACACATCCCTCATGGCCAATATGGAAGCAGCTTTGTGATCACTTATATAAGCATCAGGCCAAAGCACTGTTGAGAGTTAACAGGAAGACAACTGGGAATAGACTGCATGAGTATGATAAAGACAGCAGGAATATATTAAGTAATTAATAATCAGGTGACAAATTAAATGTAGATTTACACACATTTTATAATGATTGCACTTTTGGCAGCATAGCTGAGATTGAAAAAAAAGAGTAGTAAAAGGCCTTGCCTTTCAGGAAGTCTGCCAGTGCTCCTCAAGGCTAATGGCATTTTCTGCCTGAACCCAAGGAAGATTAAAAGTGACATATCACAATAGAAGCACTAAATAGCCAACTTTAAGCAGATTTACTTTCTTGGTTCTCAAATTTCCTAGGTAATTATACATCAAATAAATAAATGTTTGTTTTGGGTTTTTTTTTACAGGAGTTCAACCCTAAAAGTAACCTGATTTTAATGGTATAAATATCTTGATTAGATATTTGGGATATGAGAACTGAGACTACAAGAGTCATGTTTAATGACTGCTACTGGAAAGAAATGAATAACTTAGGACTTTTAAAGAAAAATAATACACTAGGAAAGGAAACTGGGAGAATAGCAAAGGGGCCAAAGAAGGAGATGAGGAGAAAGAAATGAGTCCACCATAAAAATTCTTTTATAAAATATTTCTTTCAGTTAAATTCCTGAGAGGATGTGTG